AACGCCACCTCTCCGGTCATCGAGTTCTGGGAGTGAGTGAGGCCCCGTCCCCATGGGCCAGGGCTGTGTGTTTGGAAGAGCGTTGCGGAGGGGTGGCTGGGCGCCAGGCGGTGTGACTCTCAGTGAGCACCGAGGGCAGAATTCTGTCTCCTCCTTTGATGGCCCTGCAACCTATGTTGCTTTTTCTTTGTGGTCTTTGTGGTTAACACACAACTGGCTTCAGTAAAAGAATCGTGCGACCCTTCCATGCCCCAGCCTGCCTTGCCTCCCCAGAGCGCCCCCCGCCCCCAGGTGGTGCCTGTACAGCTGTCTCCCCACTTCCAGCTGCCAACTCTCGAGCTCATGTGCACTGCCTCCGGTCTACTCCCCACACCCCAAGTACTGGTAGTATCTGGGGCATGATTCCTTTTGCTTTTTTTAAAGATTTATTTATTTAAGCATACAAGAACTGGGGTACAGGCTGGAAGTGTGAGGGGTGAGAGGAGTCACCAGAGACAGAGCGGGGAGCAGAACAAGCGGATCTACTGAAATCTACTGCTGAGGGGAGCAGCGGGCGAGACCAGGGAGGTCTGCTGCGCCATGTGGGTCAGCTCCCTGATGGAGGATCAAACTTGTGCTGCAGTGGCTGCGGACAGCTTTAACCCCTTGCGCCACCAGGGAGGGCCCAGGGCATGAGTCCTAATGTCAGAACAGCCTAAGCATCTGGTTGAGGACATGTTTGCACTTCTAGGTTAAATTGGTACTTCCCAGAGCATATTTCCCCGGAGACAGTCTGCATTTCCTTCCCTGACATCTACCCCATCTCTGGATAAGGCTGAGCCCCAGGCACCTGAGTGAAAATAGCTGACACAGCTCTGCGCAGCGGCCCGGAGACCTGGCTTCACAGCTGAGACTGCCGGCTGCAAAACCGAGGCTGGCAGCAAAAGTGGAGCCCAGGTCCCCATTCTCTCCCCAGGCGGCGGGTCCTGAAGATCTCTGATGGCATCCACGACCTGGGGGCCCTGCGCTGGGAGCTGGCCCTGTGCCTCCTGCTCGCCTGGGTCATCTGCTACTTCTGCATCTGGAAGGGGGTCAAGTCCACAGGCAAGGTTGGTGTGGAGAGCTCGCGGCCCTAATGGGGGCTCAGACACCCACAAGCCCCCATGTTTAGTCAGGATTGGTCAGACTAGCAGGAGATGATCACACAGAGGCTTTATGTGGTTTTCTTCCAGGATCCTGTGCCTCTCCTGGGTGCTACCCAGGTGCTTCTGGTACTTGGGAAGTTAAGAGAGAAAGAAAATGGCAGGGAGGGAAACTTCCAGAGGAATCTGGTTTTGGAATATATCACACGTGTGAACACATTGCAAACGGAACAGTTGATGGCTCCCTGGTTCATACACTGGTTCTTCAGAATTTGATTCTATTAAGAGTTTTAATCTCAAAACGAGTCTCCTTCAACCCTAGAGCGTGGGGGGACTCTGCCCTAGAGTATGTGAGCCAGTAGAGAATATTCTGAGTTCCTCTGGACTCATGCCCTGGAGGCCTCTGTCCAGGCTGCTGTCCTCATCCGGCAGCCTGGCTGTGCTGAGCTCTAAGCTGGGCAAGGGCCAGGATCATGGCTACAGATCTCTTCATACTCGACAACCCTTGCCACAAGGCCCAACAAGCACACTTGTTGGGAAAATACCTACGTTTATTCAGCCACTAGACAAGTATTGACTGGGCTTGTGTCTGGGGGAAGACAGTACTTAAACTGCAGGGATGGCGGGAGGAGCGAGGCTGTGGCTTAGGGCAGAGCGGAGATGGAACTGAACAGCTGTGAGGGGAGAGGGAGGAGCCCACGAGCAACTCCTTTGACCTCTCCCCTGCGGTGGGGAGCTCCTGCCTTCTGCCTCCACTGCTGGGGCTCAGACCCTCCTTCCAGCTCACAACTTCCCTCCTCTCATCTGTCCCTCGGCCAGGTGGTGTACTTCACAGCCACGTTCCCTTACCTCATGCTGGTGGTGCTTTTAATCCGAGGGGTGACACTGCCTGGGGCAGCCCAAGGAATTCAGTTTTACCTGTACCCAAACCTCACACGTCTGTGGGACCCCCAGGTAAGAAGCTGTGGGCGAGGGCCAGCACGGGCTTGGGGGCCTGCGGGACTCGGCCTCGGCACTCTGGCTGGGAATCCCTGCTGCTGGCCTGAACTTGAGGCGTCCGCAGAATGCTGGGAAGGGATCTGCAGATAGTTGTTAGCAGCTGCTTGGGGTCCCTTTGCTTGGTTCACAGCTGCCAGGGAACCCAGGGGTCCTGAGGCCCCAGTAATATTTCTCAAGGATTGTAAACGTGTCATGGCCTTCAATCATGGGTCGTGCCCCTCCCCCACCATCCATCGGCCCCCTTTGGCATGATTTCTCTTGGTGCTGTTATCTCACACAGAGCTTCCTCTCTATTTCTCAACGCTTCATCAGCGCCCTCTGGTTCCGCCCTCTGCCCACAGCCTGGTGACCCACACCTCGCCCCAGCCCCCAGCCCTCCCAGCACCAGCTGGGCTGGTGTTGAGTTTCCTGTCAGTTGTCAGAGAGCCTCAGCCTCTGCCTCCTTCCTTCACGGCCCATACTGGCCCATACTCTGCCACAGCCTGGGTGGGGTGTGCTGCTTGCTGACCGGAGGGGTTTGTGAAGCAAGGCCTAAAATAAGAAGCCACCCTCTGACGGGTTCTTATCTTCTCCTGTTTGGCAGCCATTTTGAAAGCTGGCAAAGCCAGGAGGTGTCGAGGGCCGGAGGGGAGCGTGGGTAAGCGCCACCCCAGAGCCCCGAAAACTTGTTACCTCCCTGGCACAGAGGTCACCCTCCCTGGAGGGCTATGTGCAATGTAGAGATCCTCCCTTTGGGTGCTGGACGGAGGAGAGAGACTCTATGAGCAGGGCCCTGAGAACACTTAGGATAGGAGGCTCCCAGCACAAAGAAGACTAGTCCCTGGATGACTTTTCGAGCATTTAAAAATAGGAAGGCAACCACAGCCACAGCGGAGAGAGCGAGGAAAGGGGGTGGCCCACATTTCCACAGCTCCCTTTGAGGTGAGGACCCCAGTTCACAGAGGCAACTTTTCTGCCTTGTGCAGAATTTGGGATGATCCAGGAGCTGAATTGTTCCCAAGATTCCCAGCCAGCCCTGTAACCAAAAATAGCCACCCCCGACTAGAAGACACCTCCCCATGGAGTTGAGTGGCCTTGTACCCCAGGTATTTCTCCTTGATCTGGTGGGACATGAGCCTTCGCAGCCTCCCCAGTTCTAAGCGACAGCGAGCTGCTGGCTACTGCTCATTCCTGCATAAGCACAGGCTGCACCCAGGCTTGGGAGCCAAGTGTGGAATCACAGCTGTTCAAACTAGGACCCCAGAGATCATCCAGGGCAAACTCTTCATTGCACAGATGTGCAAACACAGCCCAAGGTCACACTGCAAATAAGTGGCCAAACTAGTGGAGTTCTCATTTGTGAATTTTAAGTCTTTTGTCTTATCTGCAGCCCAAGGGATAAGTGACAGATAGCAGAGGACAAACGGGAGGTTGGGGGCAGGGGAAGGTCTGTCTGGCTTCTCTATGCACCGGGGCCACTGTGGTTCCGGGGCAGCAGAGCTGGGAAACGCTCGCCTTTGTGTGGATGTCAGGCTGGAGAAGAGGGATTCAAGCAGGGAGGCAGGGGTCAGCTTTTCGGAACCGATTCATGGCTCCTGCTCTCAGTGCTGACCAGCTATTTCTAGCTAACAGCTCCTGAGTGTTTATTGTGCCTGGCATTGTGCAGAGGTTCGCATGCATTGTCACTGCTGAGCCTCATAGCAGACCGGCGAGGTATCCCGGTCTGCCTTTAGGAAATTAAGGCCTAGAGAGTTTAAAGAATGTCCCATCTTCCTATCTGGAAGTAGAATCCAGGTTCGACTGATGATGAACCCCGCACCCTATGGGAGTTCTTGAAAGTAAGTCTCTGCTCGTCATCAGAGTGCATTCATGTAGCAAAAATGCACTGGGCTGTTTCAGTTGTGGTGTTTGTGACATCAATAGATCCAACAAATGTGAAGAAAGCTGATCAGATAATCTTCCACTCGGAGTGAATAACTGTGTGGCCATAATTCTGTGTCTGGGCCCCGCAGGGAACAAGGGCTCTTTGAAGCCACTCTCTAGGCTGCCATCTTTCCAAGTGGGCTGCGGCAGTCTCTCTTCCCTGCCCTCTGTGCTGTAAGGAGAGAAGATTCAAGAGCCCAGTGACCTATCTCACAGCCTGGGCCTGCCCCGGGCTGCAGCTGGGCTTTGTTGTCAGTGACCAGGGCCAGTGCCCCGCCAGCGCCCTAATTGAATGTAGTTCACACTCCCCAGGAAGTGTGACCATTCCAACTGGCACTCGCCTGGCACTTGAGAAAGGTGCAAGATTCCCGCTGGTCAACACAAAGACCAAAGACTTTGCTCTGCCTGCCAAGCACTTAGTCAGGGCCAGGTTGCCAGGGAGAGGCCTTGCTGGGTGTGTCTCTTATCTCTCTCCGTGGGGCAGGTTGCCTGTCCTGTGACTGTCACACAGGAGGGGCCTCCTGACACTCAGACTCACTGGTGAGTGTGTTTCTTTCCCTGGCGCTCATGCTCTGTCTGTTCTGCTGAACGCTGGTGGATCCATGAAGGGCAGGTGCTGCAGGTGTAGTGTCCAAAGAGCTCTTGCTGAACTTTTCAAACCTCTGTGTCAAGAGGTTATTCTAATAAAAGGTTACTTTAGGGAGGAGGTGGGAACCACTGAAGACAGGGAGCCTTTTCATTCTGAGATTATGGAGATGTGTCACTTCTGGTCACTGAAATGTGACTTGCTTTTTAAAAATAACAGCAACAGCAAACATTAGCACCGGCTGACACAGTCATTACCCGCCTCTTGTTTGCTAGGTGCTGCATGACTGGAAGACTGTTTCGGCTTCACACTCACCTCAGGAGTTAGGGTGGGCTTCATTTTACACACGCAGGGGACGCAAGTTTAGAAAGCTTTATTGCCTCACATCACAAAACTAGCATGTGCAGGAGCTTGGCTTTTCACCCCAAATGATCTTTTGGGCTCTGCCATTTCCCAAAATTTAGGAGTTAGTGGAGAGTGTGAAGAGCTGCTTTTCATTCTTCCAGAAGGCGGAATCATTAATTAAATATTACATATAATATGTAATAATCACCCATGCTTTAGGAACTTCTTTGTTATACTCACTTCCCAGATGGGAAGCGTGAGATTCGGTGTGTGCCTAAGAGCACACAAGCCGTAGACTCAGGAACGCCCCTGACCTGACTCCACAGCCCGGCCCTTTCCATTCCACACTGTTATCTTCTAAATACTGTGGCTGCCGATGATCCCTGGGGTTGCTCCCCATCTTCCTTTGCCCCCCAGCCCCGACCTCTTTTTTCTACTCACACCCTATCAGGAGTTTTCCACACTCGCTTTGTCTTGCCCAAGCCAAGGAGGCATTGAAGCTTTGTTCCAGAAGCCAGGGCTCCCTGGGTGGGCAGGGGCGGGCTGCCCGTGGTGGGAACAGAACAGCTTGCTGTGCTGGTTCCCTCAGCCCTCTTCTGACCCCACTCCTCCCCCCAGCCCAGCAGGCTCCCCAGGCAGCAGCTGTGCAGAGAGCGGGACCTTGCCAAGCTCCTGGCGAGCAGGCTTTGGTCTCAGGCATAGTATCTGACCCTTGAACTCTGATCTCTCAGTCCTCCGGCTGCATTGTTCTGTTCACATTAACCCCCCATTTGTCTTTCTCTGTCCCCCTCAGGGTGAGTGAGACAAACAGCCGAGTCACAATTTTTCTTATTTTTTTCTTCCCCAGTCCAAGTTCATAAAACGTTCATAATCGTGGATTTGCTCCCCACCTGCCTACCTGGCAACGCGAGAGTTTCCTTGGACCCCTGTGGGATAGCCTGCAGGAGACAGTCTGCGTTGTGTCCTGCTTGGGGCCCTGGGAGCAAACGCCCAAGGCCAGGCAGGCTCTGGGGCCATCTCCTTGGTCACCTGTTCCACAAAGATCACCTGATGTCACGCTGGGAGGGCTCCAAGAGGCCCAGACAGATACGCGTCCCCCTCCTTACCTCTCTGACCTGGGTGAGTCCTCACCACCCCAGCCCTGGAGCCTCTGGCTGCGAGGTCTGGCTCTCCATAACCTTCCGAGTGAGGCAAGAACAAGGAAACAGAGTGCCCTCGGATCACAGGGCCCTCGGTGTTCTGGAGTGTCTGTGGGGCAGCAGTTAGTGGAGAAGGAGCAGAGTACCCTGGGCCTCTCGTCCCGTCCGGCTGGTGATGCAACTGAGCTTCACAAGCGCTGCTCTTTTCTTGACCCCAGGCTCACCCCTCTCGCCTAGCCGGTCCCTTCCTAGCTTCTGCAGTGAACCCCATCACCTTCTTTCCTCTCCCCACTTTAATTTCCCCTCTAGTTCAAAAAAGTTTCCCTGCTGCTGTGCTGTCTTCTTGCCAGCCCTGACCCCTTCTCGACACGGGCCACTTTTTCCTGGTGGAAATTCCCACCACCTTGGGAAATGGATTCTGGTCAGCAGAAGGCACAGAGGGATAGAGACAGTCTCCTTTGTCTTCACCATCCTTCCCTGCTCTGTCCCATTCCTGCAGAAGTTCAGGAACAGGGGTTGCCGGTTCTCCGGGGCTGGGGACAGTGATGGCCACGGACTGGCCCACAGCCACAGTCACGGGGGAAACGAAACATAATGTAGGTTCCTGGCTCCTTCTGAACCAGAGAGACAGCGTCTCTCCTGGGGATGCTGGCTGAGGGTTCAGGGTGCGTCTGGCACAGGCAGCCAGCCAGCCGGCTGAGGAAAGCAAGCGCTTTGATGGGGTGAGTGTGATGGTGAGAGTGAGGAAGGCCGAGGGTGGTGATGTTTAGGGGGAGAAGATGGGGGGGCTGGCGGGGGGCAGAATGGGACTGAAGACCTTCGGCCAGAAAGAAGCTGTGGCTTTATTACTTAGGCACTGGGGTGTGTTATTCGTGGAAGGCAAGGGGAACCCTTTGGGAGGCAAAAAACAAGCGTTGGGCAACACAGAGACATTGGCAATGCTCGTGCCCCCGCCTGGGATATGTCCGTGGCTTGATGCTCCCTGTGGCGCTCACGCGCCTGAAGGCAGGGGGTGCCTGGGCGGGTCTGCGCCAGAGCTGCAGGCCGGCCCGGTCCTGCTGGCCTCGGTTCCTGCTCTTTGGGGTGTTATTCTAGCTGCTAAATCTCAATCACAACACGCACAGCCTGGGCCAGCCAGCTGAGACAATAACAGTAACAACGAGACCGTGTTTAGCTGGGAAGCTGTTCTTCCCCCACGGAGTACAAAGCCCTTTACAGATGTACTGTTCATCCTCTTGACTTGTGAGCTGAGGATTCTTCTTCCTGTTTGTCAGTCACAGTTTTGAGGGATGAAGCTCCGTGCTTCTGATGGCACTCGAGAGCCAGGCCCTGGATTCCTTCCACACTGGCCCCATGGCCAGGGGAGCCCAGGACAGAAAGCCTGAGGAGGCTGTTTCCATGTCAAAGACAGGGGCTAGGCTGGCTCTGTTCAAGAGCACCCCCACCCCACCCACCTCCACGTGGCCCTTTGGCCTCTGGGTGCCTCACCCCTATGCCCTCCTGCTCACGCCCATGACGTTCCCCTGGGGCCCGGGGAGTTGAGCCCACTGGGGATATTGGGGTGGCAGGCCAGCCTGCGTGGGCTCCGGCCACCCCTCGCCAAAGCCTGGCCACCCACTGTTGTGTCCCCCCAGGGGAACCCAGCTGGCCTGGCTTTCTTGGGGTGCAGCTTTCTTGCCTGGCCACCCATTGCTGTGTCCCCTCAAGGGAACCCAACTGGCCGGACTTTCTTGGGGTGCAGCTTTCTTGCCTTCTCCCTGACTAGGTGTGGATGGACGCGGGCACCCAGATCTTCTTCTCCTTCGCCATCTGTTTAGGGTGCCTGACGGCCCTGGGCAGCTACAACAAATACCACAACAACTGCTACAGGTGACTGGGGTGGGGGGTGCCGAGCCCCAAACCTGCTCCTCTCTGCTGTTCCTCCAGCTGTACCAGATGGGGATGATTTGGAGGGTATAGCAGCTCCTGGGTTTCTGCTTTCCCCACCACCTCCCTTCACCCCTACTTTTTAGCTCCCCAGGGCTACTAGGAATGGAAAGGAGCCAATTCCAGGAAGGGCAGAGGGTATCTCTGAGGAAACTGCTGTGGATAGAGGGGGGCTGGCCCCTGGGCTGTGCGAGCAGCCTGAGAAGGAATGGGGAGCCGCAGTGCAGCCTGAGGGCAGTTGCCACGGGGCGGACGCTGAGTCCTTCCTGAGCACCTCGACCCTTTCCTCCTCAGGCCCCTGTGTTTTCCTCTGGCCTGCTGGGCTCATCCTCAGAAGTTTTTTTTTTTAAAGATGTATTTATTTGTGCATACAGAACTGGGGTACAGGCCAGAGGCTCAGGGGCGATGAGAGGCTTCACCAGAGACAGAGTGGGGAGCAGAACAGGCCGACTGACGAAGTACACTGCTGAGGGGAGCAGCGGGCGGATCAGGGGAGGTCAGCTGCGCCATGTGGGTCACCTCCCTGGCCGGGGATCAAACTGCCACCAGGGAGGGCCCATCCTCAGAAATTTTAAGTCAATTTTAATATTAGCAGGAAAAAAATCCTATCATGCAATTCAAAATCAAATTTATGGGTCTTGGGATGACTTATTGCTTGGGATTATTGATGCCTGTGCCCCTCAATTAGCAGACCCAGCTGCAGTGTCCAAGGGGGGGTGTCAGTGCAGCGGGGGAGGGGCAGCTGTGTCAGTCTGTCTCTTCTAGACTCAGGGTTGACTTCAGGACGACCGTGACTCACTCCTGGTCCAAGCCAGTGAAGGGGGTGGGAGTGGGGGAGCGGGGGCCAGACCCCAGCCCTGCATGTGCATCTGAATTCTGTGAGTGTGCCTACCACAGGCGGGGCGTGCACTCTGGGGGTGCACGCCATGGGCAGCCCCTGGAGACTCGCTCATTTCCACCGTCCCCGCCCCGCCCTGCCCACAGGGACTGCATCGCCCTCTGCTTCCTCAACAGCGGCACCAGCTTCGTGGCCGGCTTCGCCATCTTCTCCATCTTGGGCTTCATGTCTCAGGAGCAGGGGGTGCCCATCTCTGAGGTGGCCGAGTCAGGTGGGTGTTGTTGGGGAGCTGTGGATGCGGGGAGCTTTGCTAGTTGTGGCCACAGTTCAGTGGCTGTGTCCTGGGAAGGCCTGGGGGGTGGCTTCAACAATAATTGCAGCTTCAAGGGGTGAAAGCATGCACCCCCGGCCTCCCGCTCCTTACCCTGGAGGCAGCCAGTCTGCAGTCCGGATTAGCCTCTCAGAACACAGCCTGACAATGAGCATTCCTTCCAACGTGCACAGACAGATGCTTTCGATATATTATCTCTCCTTTGTAAACAAATTTTAAATATTTACTTTATTTATTCATGCATATAAGACCTGGGGTTTAGGCCAGAGGTATGGGGTGGTAAGAGGATTCACTGGAGACAGAGTGGGAAGCAGAACAGGCAGATCTGTTGACGTACACTGCTGAGGGGAGCAGCGGGCGGGTCAGGAGCCTCTGCCGTGCCCTGTGGGTGTCCTTCCTGGCTGGGGATCGAACTCGGACTGTGGTGGCTGTGGCTCGCTTTGTAGTGCTGCGCTTTACCCGTCGCACCACAGGGAGGGCCCAGGGTACTCTATATTTAAGGGAAGTTTCCTACAGATGAACTCAGTGCTGGCGGGGCGGGGGGGGGGGGGGGGGGCGGGGTGTGTGCGCTTTGTTTCTGCCATGAATCAGCTGCACATTAACTAATGGTGAAGATGTGTGTCAATGGTACCCTGAAATTAATGCCGCTTATCGTGGAGTGACAGAAATGCTCCTGGTGCAGGGATGGCACACTGGTGGCCCCAGGCCCAGGCTCGCCTGGAAAGCCTTTAGTTTGGGACCTTCTGCTTTACACAGCAGTGCCCGATGGCCTTAGCTGGGTGTTGATGGTTCCAGGCGCGTCATGCCCGGCCGTCTCCTCATTTCACACTGGGTCAGCTTTACGAGTGCAGGGATGGCCTGGCCAGGAACTCTTTTTATGACACAAGTCCCCGGTGTGGGGACGGATCTGGAGAGTGAGACCTGGGGACTTGGGCTTGACCTTCAAGAAATGAGGGTGGGAGACTCCCTTTTTACCTTCCAAAGCGCTTAGCACCCAGAGCCCCTAGGCTCTGTTCCTGACAACTGTTTCAGTGCCTTGGAAGTGTGGGGACCAGGTAGAGGTTTGAGCGTTTTTCTGGGTGAGGATGTTATAGGGGTGGTAATTAGGGGGAAGCTCCATGGCCCCTCACTGCACGGTGTCGCCTGCTCGTCGCTCTAGGCCCCGGCCTGGCCTTCATCGCCTACCCCCGCGCTGTGGTGATGCTACCCTTCTCTCCTCTCTGGGCCTGCTGCTTCTTCTTCATGGTGGTGCTCCTGGGACTGGACAGCCAGGTACAAAGTGGTGGCCACAGCAAGCCTGAGATGAGTGGATGGTGTGGGCTGGGGAGGGGAAGAGAAGACCGGAGGCTGAGCGTCCTGCCCCGTGGGACCTTAAAACAGCGGGGGACTGGGCACGTGTCAGGGGCTCTCTTCTGGGTGCAGAGATGGTGTACCCCACAGGCGTGAGGCCCAGACAAGCACGCAAGGACACTCTGGGACCTGGGGCGGGAGGCTGGCACAGCTGGCCTGGAGCAGTCAGCTGGCGCTGGTGAGTGGGCTTCTTTGGGGAGCTCTCCCCCTCTGATTCTTTTGCCCTCTCATCCAGTTTGTGTGCGTGGAGAGCCTCGTGACTGCGCTGGTGGACATGTACCCCCGTGTATTCCGCAAGAAGAACCGCAGGGAGCTCCTCATCCTGGGAGTCTCGGTGGTCTCCTTCCTCGTCGGGATGGTCATGCTCACAGAGGTGAGGGTTTGGGAGGCCTGGCGGTGGAGCGGGCTGCCAGGCGGCCCTTCCGGGCTCAGACCAGGGACCCCTCCTGTCCAGCCACCACGAGCACAAAGTAGAGGAGCCCCTTCTCTGGCGTGTGGGCACTGACCACACTTCTGAGGGGTAGTCTGTGTGCAGGGCGAGCTGAGAGACCTAGCAAGGATGGCCGGGAAGTCTGGCTTTAGGAAAAGCAGCCTCTCCTGCAACACCCATGGTTTCCCACGCAGATGAGCCAATCTCAAACGGAGTGGGCAATGCTCTGCGAGGAAGGAGGGAAGGTCCCTACCTGTCCGCTCCTGACTTACATGGCTGAGTCAGTCCCACCTGTCCCAGGGATCATCTAAAGGTGGTTTCACCTGTCTCCCAGCCAGAACCAATAAAAACGAACTTACTGTCTCCTACCTGCTGAGTACAACTCCTTAAAGACACCTCTAACACCTGACTCCCGTGATCCGCATCAGCTCTGCCCTGCACCCAAGGGTGAGGGGATGGAGGGCGTGGGGGTGAAGCAGTTCCCTATGCATAAAGGCCTCTTCTCTCTCCCCGGCCAGGGCGGGATGTATGTGTTTCAGCTCTTTGACTACTATGCAGCCAGCGGGATGTGCCTCCTGTTTGTGGCCATCTTTGAGTCCCTCTGTGTGGCTTGGGTTTATGGTGAGTGACTCTTCTCCCAGGTCCCCACTCCCACCCCCCAGCCCCCGCCGAGGCCCTTTGGCAAGAAGCTGGCAGGCACAGAGCATCCCACCTTCCGCCTTCCCATCCTCAGTCATCTCAAGAGTCCTAAATGGCTACAATTAGGAGGTCCCCTAGAGGTTCCTTGTCCCCTCCTGGTTATGGCTGCACCCTCCCTCACCCCCAAAGAAGACCACATCCTTTTCAGCCCTGGACAACCTTGAGAGGCAGAACCTTCACCTACGCCCGGGTCTGCCCACTGCCGTGCGTACCTGAGTTCAGGGACAGTGGTCTGAAAAGACAAGCAGGATTCTTCTGTTGACTGGCCTCTGCCCATGTTGGTGTGAGCCACCTCAGGCTGCAGCTGCTAAGAATGTCCTTCCCCTTCCTTCCCTCCTCTCATCCTCGTGGTAGGAGCCGGGCGCTTCTATGACAACATTGAAGATATGATTGGGTACAGGCCATGGCCTCTCATCAAGTACTGTTGGCTCTTCCTCACACCAGCTGTGTGCACAGTAAGAGGACCTTCAGGGGACAAAGCCAGAGGAAGGGACAGAGAGGTGGTGCTGGCCAGAGGGTAGACAGGCCATTCACCCTCGAAGGGACTTCTCCAGGGGGATTGAAAATCATTCCAGATTTTCTTTCATCTTCCTGTTGGGTTCTAGAAAATGACAGCGAGATAGTCTTCCTTTCCAGTTCACGGAAGGAGAAACCGAGGCCCAGCCTGCTGGGTCACTCCACACTGTGAGTGTAAGTGGCAGGCCGGCCTGGACCCCGGTGCTCGGGCTGTGCGTTCACTACTGTGACCAGCCCCGCAGGCACGACAGCAATAGTTCCAGAACACTCGCCTAGTGCCTGCACGAGTGCATGACACATTCTAACATTTATCCTCACGAGAGCTCTGTGAGGTAAGAATGACCACTATATTCATTTTACAGATGAAACCGAAGCCAAAGAGGTGAAGCTATATACCCAAGCTAGGACAGGACAGAGCTAGGATTCCAGCCAGCCCAGGTAGCTGGGCTCCACAGTCTGAGCCTCGCACTACTCTGGTTGCGGGCATGGGGGTGAGGGCAGAAGGCTGTTCCTGAGGTGCTCATGCCCCACTGACGGGGCAGATTTAACCCCTAGAGCCCGGCGGGCACAGAGCCCTGTCCTAACTGGGGAGCAGCCCCGACAGGGGGCCAAGGCCCTGGGCGGCCCTGGACGGACAGGGCCGGTCACCTCTGGGGCCTGTGGGCTCTGAGCAGATGCGGGCTGGTGCTGACGGTCTGCACGGACCTGACGGCAAAGCTTGGCTCGGGGCATGGCGTCTGCCCGCTTTCGCAGCGGGTGCTGAGGGCTCGGCCCTGCTCCCAGACCTTATCTCTCCCACTGTCACCCTCAGGCCACTTTTCTCTTCTCTCTGATCAAATACACCCCACTCACCTACAACAAGAAGTACACGTACCCGTGGTGGGGAGACGCGCTGGGCTGGCTCCTGGCTCTGGCCTCCATGGTCTGCATCCCCGCCTGGAGCTTCTACAAACTCAGCACACTCAAGGGCTCCTTCAGAGAGGTAGGGTGCACCCCACCGGGTTAGGAGCCTGGCAGGTGGGAAATGTCGAGGGCCTGCTGCCTGCCTGGGGGGAAGCTGGCACGCAGGGGCCTGGGGGCAGCGGGGGGGTGGGGGAGAGCCGGCCCTGGCAGTCTCACAGGACCAGTGCCGGGAGGCTGGGCGCGTGTGCCCGGGGAGGCAGGCAGACACTGGTCGTGGGAAGCTGGCAGACTACCCCCGCCCCTTCTCCTTGCAGAGAATTCGCCAACTTGTGTGCCCGGCTGAGGATTTGCCCCAACGGAAGCGGAAGCGGGGCGGAGTAGAGCCCCCTGCTTCTGCCACACCCCGGACATCACTCCTGAGACTCACAGAACTGGAGTCTCACTGCTAGGGAGCTGCCCCGCCTCGGCCGGGCCGCTGCAGCGAGAGGGCAGAGGCCACCTCCTCGCCGTGCTTCTTTGCCCCTGTCTGGGGCAGATATGACAAAGGGGGTATTTGGGAACCCACTTTCTGAGCTGGGGCCTCCCACCCCCAGTGACAACTGTGAGATGCCAGTATCAAGAGCTTTCCTCTGAAAAGGGCTTTGGGGGTTGGGCGAGGCCTGGGGCGGGGTGAGAGCTCTGGGCTCCCCCACCCCCCAGC